TGCTCAGCCAACAGTCCTGAGTCCTGTAGCCCACTTATCACCAGATGTCCAGGAACTAGAACACCTATGGAGGTCGTTGTTGACCCGGGCGATGAGTATATGTTTCTGTAAATTACATCTCACCATATTGTTTATGGGAGAGATACTCTTCGTCTGGCTCCTCTGATGAGACTTGTCCAGTATGGTTGAACCTCTGGCATAGCTCTCATCCTCCTCAGAGCATGCAAGACCCACAACCACGTCAAGGTAGTGCTTCACTGGGGGATGATGATGATGATGATGATGATGATGATGATGATGATGATGATATTAGGGCAACCAAAATGGATCCAGTATTCCAGATGTGGTCTGTAAGTGTAGCACAGAGTGGAAGTATCATTTCCCTTATCTTGTTGATGTAGTCTAGAATTGCATTGGCTTATTTGGAAGCTACAATATACTGCTGGCTCACCCTCAATCTCTAGTCTACCAGGGCACCCAGATCCTTCCCACAAGTATTATTGCTGAGCCAGATACCACCTAGTACTGACATAGCTGTAAGCACTGCTCCACCCTCCTCCAAGGGAGTGCCCCAGCTGCTGCATTCCTGTTCTGCCCCATGTAGCTTGATATCAGAACAGGTGAGTTTCCTCAAAGGTATCTATTAGCACTTTAACTGTAGGCTGACATTGGAATGGGTGGTCCCATCAGAGTTGCCTTGGGATCTGTAGAGCTCTATTTATGCTTCCGTCTCATAGCTACATCAGCCTACTTATTAACCTTGGTGGGATGTTCATGGTGCACTTTAGTTTTTCATCAGTTATGCATTGTATCAGTGGAATTACACAGGAAAGCCGTGTGTGTGTGTGAGACAAAGCTGAATTTTATTTATTTATGACTCAGTTTGGTGTCAGTTTACCCCCTATTTTAAGGGGCACTATTGCATCATACGAAAGGGGTTTTCAGAATGATTGCCTTACCTGGCATTCTTAATTCATGGATATTTATTTATTTATTTATTTATTTATTTAGTAAATATGTAGGCCGCCCATCTCGTATGCAAGACATGCTGTTTAGTTTATACATTTTAAGGGAAAAGCACATAACTGTTAATTGCACTCAGTTGATGCTTAATGCCAACAAGTATTCATTTGCTCCAGACTATTCTTATGGATCATGTTTTTCCCCACCATCCTAAAATTTCTAATTGTATGCGTCCATGAATGGAACGGTGAGAAAAATGTCCTTGATTCAGTGAATTTTCCTGAAATACAGAATTAGGCTTCCTACTGTTCTCTAGTTTTTGTTCAGCTTCTGCAAAAGAAAATATCTTCATTCCCCATTCCGGTGTTAGTGTTTACCTCCCAAACATTGGCGCATCGAGAAAGGGAGGGTGCCAAATTTTATTGACACCCCCCTCCAAATGATGGCTGTTCTAACCAAAGAATGCAATTCAAAATCCAACAAATAAATAAAATATATATTGTGGGAGTAGTGCACAATAGTGCACTATTTGAAATTCTGCAGAAGCTTGGGTGCCTGAAATATGCAATGTACTGAGGCCATGCTACAAGGCAGAGAAAAGTTCTATTTTAAACTTGTGAAATATGATTATCACACCATTTCCCACATCTTAATTGGGTAGAGGAGGAAAAGTTTCACTTCCTTTCTCCCCCACTCCCAAAAAAGCCTCTTTGATTCCTTTTAAAATTTGCACTTGCATTTCTTTCATTAAATTATGCTGGAGGTTTACAACATGTTCTGCTGTTTTATGCTGATGCCTTATCTGTAGTATCCCAAATAGAGACATGATAATGATGTACACTTTGTTTCATTTCAGTGGATTTGTGACATGGTTTGCCCAGGAGATCTTGCATAAAATCTTAATGTTCAGCCACCAAGCAAAGGGATTCTGAACAGGAGGTGAATTATAATGCTGGGATTTTCAACCAAGCTGAACTGAACTGATTGACTGATTGATTGATTGGAGTGGGGTTATTAATTGAAAACATTTATAGGGCACTTTCTTTTACACTCAAACTGAGTTAGAATGAACCACAACAGCCATCAGTTAAAGGGCAATTAATTAAGACTAGTTAAAGAAACCCAATGGAATAAAACTCAGCCTGGAAAGCGGTCTGCGTCTTGCTGAAACCCTCACTGCCATCACTAACTCAATAACAGTAGCTGCTGACCAAAGAAGGAAATTCTGGCAGCCTTTCTGGGACAAACAAACCAGGCTTACCCACTCAGGGAATGAGAACTTCATCGAGCTTTTCAGTGCAGGGTTGACCTGTAAAAAGGCACCAAATTCCATGAACATGAACAGGGATGCTCAGTTATGCCCTTGTGAGCAGAGTTTGCTTGTAAGTCTAGGTCCCATTTTCATTCTTGCAGCATTCTGGCCAGGTCCACCTTTCTCCAGTGGAGGGGGGAAAAAAAAACAGCATTCCCTCTGGATGTCTTCTCTTGAGATTGCATGGAAGTAAGAGGAGCCAGGGAGGCTGCTGAATTCTGGAGAGACTGGACAAAGAAAGAACAGAGTATTCATGGCCATATCTGGGCCAACCTACAGCTATGTCAGATGTAAGTGCGAGGACACCCAGATTCCACCCATGAGAATGTCATTTCTCCTTTGAAAGGACACTGAAGACAAATGTTCTTGATCAAACAGAATGAAGACTAGATTTGTTCTCTACTACAGCAACCTACAAGCATAGATGTTTGGGGGAGCAGTATTTCTTATTGATCTGGACTCCTTTATGCAGAGGATTTGCCACTGAGCCTTTCTCTTTTTTGCTTCCCTTGTGTGCCATGATTTGATAATGTATCACCTTTTGCATCTGTTCTCTTAATAATAGGACTGATGAAAAGAGTTAAGGGGAAAAAGATATTCTTTTCTCTATTTAATGAGTCAAGATTATTCTAGCCATCAAACCTCATT